CGGGACACGCGCACACACCAACTACCCCTCCCCGGGACACGCGCACACACCAACTACCACCCCCACGCAACACACACACACACCAGCTACCCACCCCCCAGGGACACGTGCACACACCACCTACCTACCCCCCCACGGGACACACACACACACACCAACTACCACCCCCACGGGACACACACACACACACCAACTACCACCCCCCCAGGGACACACGCGCACACACCAACTACCACCCCCCCAGCGACACGCGCACACACCAGCTACCCCCCCCAGGGACACGCGCACACACCAGCTACCCCCCCCCCAGCGACACGCGCACACACCAACTACCGCCCCCCAGCGACACGCGCACACACCAGCTATCCACCCCCAGGGACACGCGGGCGCACCGAGGGAGGCTCACTACGGTGGGTAGCCCCTTTGCTCTGTGGACTCCTAGCTAAATGAACTCTTGCTAGCACTGGGTAGAAATCATGGGCTAGGAAACTCCTTACGGCTTTGCAGGCTCTGCACTCAGCGTCTCCTGGAGGCCTGGGCCAGTCAGATCCCGTTGGTTACTGTCCCCTGGTACAAGATAACGGCCCTTTCCTGGGACAGCCCCCGGCTCTGTCCGTCCACGCAGGTGCAGAGAGGGTTACCACTGGCTGCTACGGCACCAAAACAGCAACTTGGATTTAAGTCTCAGGCTGAGATGGCTGCGGCTTGGCTCTGGTGCAAAGGGTTTTCATGGCTCTTTTCAGTGTGTTTGGCCTGTGTGCCTGTCTGGGTTAGGTAACAAAAGGAGGTACCAGGCCAAATCCTGCTTATAGCTACCCTGGGATAATCCTGAGCCAATAGAGTCACCCTGATCTACACCACTCTGCACGAGGACAGCTTGGCCCAGTAGCAAACGGACGCCGAGAACTGTCCCCGGGGCTGGGACCGGCAGCCAGGGCGACTCACCCAACCATGTGGAGAAGGAACGGAGCAGCAAACGGCAGCGCTGGACGGGAGGCTGCCTGCACCCCTGCACCTCGCTCTGCAATGCGCCAGCCAAGAGCTGCTGTGACCTGGGCCTGCGGCAGCCACTTGCAGCGTCATGGGGGCTTCAGAGGAGGGAGGGAAAGGCAAGTGTGCGCTGCTGCCTCCTGCTCTGCCCAGGCCCCAGGGGCAGCACGCGACCCCCACTCCCCCCGTGAGCCCCGCCCTGCTGATTGCACATGGGGTGAGACTGTCACTGGCCAGCACCCTCGGCCCCTCGGCCGGGGGCCGGGCAGGGCTCCCTCAGGCTGCCCGCCCCATCTCGGAGGAGCGTGGCTGCAAGGGTGGCCAAAGGAGACTCGGGAAGGAATGAACTGTCTGCCCCCAGGGCCTGAGAGAGGAGATGGCAGAGCTCTGGGAAGGGCTCTCGGGATAGGTGGCAATAGAAGGGAGGGTCTGAGGGAGATACGGGGGGGACGGGACCTGGGGCTTAGGGTGGACCAGGTGGGGGGTAGAGGGGGACTCAGGGTGGATCAGCTGGGGGGGCTCAGAGGGGGGGTGAGGGTGGATCAGCTGGGGGGGCTCAGGGTGGACCAGCTGGGGGGGCTCAGGATGGATCAGCTGGGGGGGTAGAGGAGGGCTCAGGGTGGATCAGCTCCGGGGGCAGAGGGGGTTCTGGGTGAGCAGGGCCTGAGGGGAAGGCTGCCATCCCTGCTCAGTGGATTGCTAGAGCATCTCTGGTGGCAGCAGGAGGAGGGGATGTTGTTGTCATGGGGACAGATCCTCCTTGTAGGGGCGGGACCTGAGATGGGTGACATCACCCCCAGGGGACGTGGGAGGATGCGGAACCGGAACCGACAGCAGTGCCTGGAGCAGGCAGTGCAGACAGCAGCTGCCATTCACTCACCTGGTCCTGAGCGCTCTGCATCCCGGCAGCGGCAACAGCATCCGGGTCTGGGAGGGGAGAAGAGCTGGCACACACTAAGCACTGCAGCTGGTACCCAGCCCAGCTCCGCCCCTCCTCCTCCTGCCATTCCAGCCTCCTTCCCCCAGCCTCCACACGCTTTGTTCTCCATCCCTCCCCTCCTCCATCTCCCCTCTGCTGCAAGGAGCATCTTCCGCTCTCACCCCTCCGAGGGCACCAGGCCGTGCGGCCACTGGCCTGCCCAGGGGCCCGTGCACAGCGCTTTGCAGCTAACTTCGTGCCCTCCAGGACGAGTCCCAGGCCAAGGCTCCTGTCCCCTACCGTGGAGGCTGAGCTGGGATGCTGCTCTAGGGGTGCCCATGGTTCTCACCCTGCTTGTCTCCATCTATAAACTGTGCCGTTTTTTTGCCATGTCCAGTTCGGAGAGGGTGTTGGTGCCTGAGTACATGAGCCATGCGTGCTTGTGGTCCGGGGCGGGGGCTGCCTGCAACCACCGAGAAGTGTCCCCTGGGGTGAGCACGGATGTCCAGGTGGCTCTGGATCGGATCCTCCCTGACCTGCACCTGGCCATTTCCTCCATGAAGCAGGCAGTCAACCCCGAGGATCTCAGGAAGGGGATCGCAGAGATCTTCCAGCTGGTGGAGGAAGCCTGGGTGATGCCCACCCTGGGGAGAGATGTGGCCAAAGCTCTGTGTGATGTGATCCGCCTGGAGGGGGGCCTGGACCTGCTGCTGAACCTGCTCCAGGCAACAGAGCTGGAAACCAAGTGCCAGGCTAGCAAACTCCTGGAGCAGATCCTGGTGGCAGAAAACAGGTGAGTCTGCAAAGGGCCCACACCCTGCAGAGCCCTGCCCCCAGCACACCCCCCCACAGCCCTCCTCCCAGTGCCCCCCACAGAGCCCTCCCCCAGCACCTTTTTATTAAGCTTTTGCTTTTCCACCTCTCTTGCTTTCCCTGCCACACACCCATCTGCCCAAAGGCCCCGGCACCCCTCCCTTCTGTTGCGGACTGTGATGAGCTCTGGGCTGCAGGCTCCTGGGGCAGGGCGTAGATAGAGTCATTCACACAAACAGGTGACTCCAGCAGCATGTTCCGTTTGTGTGTCACACGTTTGGGGTCTTTGTCACACCTGGCGTCCCCTGTTCAGGCCTCGGCAGTGAGGGGGACGTACCCTTTGGGAGCCGGCTCAGGGCAGAGGCTGCCCAGCGTGCTCGGTAGCTGAGGATAATGAACCATGGTTACAATGGTCATGCCTAGGGCCCCCCATTGCCCCACCGTGCTAGGTGCTGTACAGAGGGATGGGCCAGTGGATTTGACCAGAAGGCCATAAAGGCTGGGGAGGTGGCAGCCATGAAAGAGGGGCTGAGGCAAAGTCCAAGGGACTCGCTGCTTGGGTCAGAGCTCTGGCTGGGAGGTGTGTTCAGTAACACAGAGGGCATGCAAGCCTCCGGCTCCCTGAGCTCCCAGAGCAAAGTTCCTCTGCCCCTCAGGATGACGCTCCCTAGCTGGGGATCTTAGCACGGCGAGGGAGGGTCTCTGCAGGGCTGTGCTCGAGAATTAGACTCTTCTGCTGGCCCGGCAGACAAGTGGTTAGTGATATGTGTATTCTCCAGCATAGGGATGGGAGCGTGTGTGTGTATAGGGTCTAGGACAGCTTGGATTTTCCCTTCTCTAAGTGTGTGCACTCAGATCTCTGCCCCCTTGAGACTGTCAGCTCCTTGGGGTGGCGCTGTGCTGTCCCCCACATCTGTGCACCCCTGCGCATCCACTGCATCACCAGGGATCATGCGTTCATTGGGACGAGTCACCCCAACGAGTGAAGCTTCTACTCCCGCTGACACTTGCTAGCACACTCTGGCTGTCGGAGCTACAGGTCCAAATGCTCAGAACACGTCCCAGGCTCAGCTACCCGGGTTTCGCAGTTCTCAGCCCTCGGCGGAAGTAGGCAGGGAGACGAGGACTTCTGCCCCTGACATCCATAGGAACCGGCTCAGGCACCTCTTGTATGGGCCAATGCACGTCCTTGGGTTGGGTCTGACAGCTCCCTCCAGCCCTCCTGCTTGGATGAAATGAGACCTGCCCTCCATACTCAGTCACACAGCTCTGCCTGCTCAGAGCAGAGCACAGGTTTCTGGAGCAGGCAGCACAGAGGGCAGGTTAGTGCCTGGATGAGTTTTGTCACGGTCCTCTCTTGCTGCAGCCTCTCTCTGGGCTGGGCTGTGATATCATCTCCCGCAGGGTGTGTCTCATCACAGCCAGTGACCTCAGCCTGCTAGCGTGTCCCAGTGTGCTAGACGCTGCGCCAGAGAGCCGCTCTCCTTGTCCCCAGGACACTGAGTGGCTGGGGCCGGGGCAGGTGGTTCAAAGCCCTAACTCCCTGCGAGTTCAGTATGTTCTTCGCCCAAGCCCCGGTGGCAGTGCTGCAGATGACAGGACCATGGGCCGGCAGCTTCACCCAGACTCAGCCCATCTACCCCGAACTCTAGCGTAGGGTGACCAGATCACACAGGTGAAATATCGGGATGCGGGGGGGAGAGAGGGACAGAGAAAAAAAAAAACACAGCCGCCGGAGCTCCACGCCCTGCCCCCCCCCACCAGCTTGCCTCCACTCCATCTCCACCTCCCCCCTCCCCTCCAGCGCTTGCGCCGCCATTCAGCTGATCAGCG